GGTATTGGAGGAGTTGGTTGGTGTTAAATTAGTGAACGTGTAGTCTTCATTAATCTAAACCAAGAAATAAATAGCATTTTAATTACATTTATGAACTAGCTCAAAATTCAGAGCTGCTCTGAGGATAAATAATTAGAAGATATAGCATGTATGGGGAAACATTCATGGCATTAAATTTAGTCTAATACATAATTAAAAGCAAATGAAGGGTAGAAAAATTTTAGGGAAAGAATGCAATAAACCCTGAAAAATACTTCATACTTGATACATCTGCTCCTCTTGCAACGTGCCTTTTTTATTTTTTCAAGTTTTTACCTTATTTTGGTTGGTGAAAAAGAATTGTAGGAGGAACGACCAAAAGCATTATATCATGGAGATTGCAGCTGCACGAGTGAGCCAGGAAATCTATGGGCAAATCCCCTTGCAGGCAGTGTATCAAGATGTTGCCGAACCAAACAGCTTGCAAAGAAGGGAGGAAATGCTATTCAGAATGCTCATGTGCTAGGACAGTTAAGGCTTTCTGCCTAATTTCTAACTTCTTAATGTGGTAGTTAGAATGAAATTTGCATCTGCTTTTTTTGTTTGTTTTGTTTTCATGGAGGTATGAAGGGACTCATTTCTCTCCCATCAGAGCCAAGGTGTTGAATTTCGGCTTGTAATAAAATCCTTCAGAGAATGAACCATCTATTTAATTTTATACCGACCTTCTACTGACTGTTACTTCTTACTTACATGTACTCTCATTTTCCAGGCTTTTTAATGTACTTCTTTATAATAAATCTATTCATAATAGTGCAAACAAAATACTAATCCAGAAGGTGGACATTGCAATTTCAAATGCATGTCTGGGGATCACTCAAAAGACATCAGTGGCTTTACTGTTTGGGTTACTGTACTCTTGTGATATACTGCTTATATTTCATGGTTTTGGTGTAAAAAAATGAAGCTTTATGTTTCTTTTGTCATGCATCTGTACCAAGTAGCCTTGCCTTAAGAACATTAAAAACAGGAAATTGACCTGTATTTTCTATTTAATGTTTACTTAAAACAGTTATCTAGTTTTCTCTTTTCAACCTAACAGTTCTGTAATTGTAGATACTGCAGTATTGCTTTGGTGGTTCTTGTTATGTATACTTCACAGCTGCTGAAAGAGCTGTGTATACAAATAAGCTCAATGTTAATATTCCTTCAGGGGTTTTTTAGCATTCTAGATCATCTATTAATATTCTTTTGTTTTTTCCAATCCACCCAAAATAATTTTCTAGATTGTTCTTAAAAATAGCTGGGGTACAAGAAAGTGGGGGAAAAAAAAGCCAATTGCTGATAGACAGTCTTATAGTTTGAAAGTTATGCTACTGTGACAGATCTTGCAAAGCTTAGCTACAGCATAAGTTGCAATCTTATTGCCAATATTTAGTGCTAATTGAGATGTGACACAATGTGTGGTCATCTGAACCTAAAACTTGCTAGTTCAAATGTCAAAAGCATATTTAGAGATAGCCAGTCATCTTCTTTCCTTGTGTGTACCCCCACGAGGGAAAAAAAATCACTGCTGTCTGTGTTCTTTTTTGCTTTATGTTTTGACTCTTGTAGGCATCCATACAGTATCACACACAGCAGGCCTATAGGGACTACTTTATAAATACAATACAGACATATGATAGAGTACAGCTGAAGAATTACTGAGGCTGGAGTGCTGCCCTTGTCAAGTGGTTCAGTGCTTGTACTGGTCTTGGATTTTGCAGCACAAAACCTGTAGTGTGGGTATGCCTGCTCCTGACTGGTTACGATGTACGGCGCAGTATCCAGGGTGCATTTTAATGTGGCTGGGGTGTCATGTGAAGTATGGTGAGCCATTGCATTAGGTCATGAGGAAAAATGTGCCAAGGGGAGGGGTTACTTAGCACATTTTGTTGCTTTGAAACCAGAGGTTCTTCAGTACTTTGTCACTAGGACAAAAAATGGGGAAAGGGTTTCTGTGGAAGAGTTAAGGGCAAAGGCTTTAAGGTTTTGGTGGTATCTACATAAAAGTCCTGTGACTCCAGATAGGAGTGCAGACAGTCTCTGCTTGTGGCATGCCAAATTCTTTGGGAGCTATGCTTGGCACAAATCCATTTGTGTATAAATCTCTCTTTTCCCTGGGGAAGAGGAGAAAATATTGCAAAAATTGGTATGAAGAACCACATCAGCTGGGACTCATCAGAACTCACAGAGGGGAAATTAAGTTCCCGTTCCTCTTTTAACAAATACATTGTAGCCATATCTGACATATATAATTTTTGTGTGTGTCTATTAGCTGCAATACATACACAGAGTAGATGGAGTCCCAGGCTGCCTGGCAGCTGCCCCGTGCCACTGCATTCTTGTCAGTTGTACTGACTCAATTGTTTGTGCAGCTGTGCAGTAAAATGATTCTACTGGAGCGGGGAAGACTATATATTTACAATTTGTCTATATATTATAATATTTATGCATTTGTTTAAGCAGCAGGCTATTTTTCAGCTGGATCAATTGCTTTACTCATGACATGGCCTCCCACGCAGCTCTGCCAGCGTAGTAGGGAGCCAAGGCTGGGAGGATGAGCCCAGCCGCCAAAGGCCTGGACTTGCAGTGATTGCAGAGAGGAGGGAGCAGGTCGGAAATGGAAATGAGAGCATGTCAGAACCCCTTGCTGCTTATTCACACCTCGGAAATTACTATTATTCTTCATGTCCCTCCATGGAGAAAAGTTATGTGGCCTTCAGAATTGCTGTTGGATTTTCTAACTTAAGAGGGAATGCTGGGCTAATTAATTATCTAACTTAATTGAAGTATGTTATGTAATATATCACAGTAGTTAGTATACAGAGGTTGTGGTTGCATTAAAAGTATTTTAATATGATTTTTCCCCCTTGTGGCTAGCCTCATGAGCAGTTTATTTAATCTGTTGTCTAGCAGTAGTATTGGCATCTAAAATCAGACTGCTCTGTCTATCAGAAATGTAGGAGACTCCTCTTTTGTAAATGTTAAAGAGAATGGGGTGAATTACTGTGTGTTAACTGCAGTATTGCAGGTGGAGAGTTAGCTCTTGTGCAATTCCTGCAAGGCTATGGGCATGTGGCAGTGCCATCTTGGGATAATCTGGCCCTCTCTCAAAGCTCTATGATTCCTAAAAGTGAAGCAGGGTCAAACAGCCTGATTGTGGAGTGTCAGTCAACTTCCTTTAGCTTATGAAGAGTTTTTTAACTTGGCTTCCAAAGGAAATGGATCATGCCATCTTTCTGTCCCTACCCCTGTAAATCTAAAGTCTCTTGACCACTGCTAGGAAAAGGTGGTAAGATCTCAGATCCTGCCCAGGACAAGAAGGATGCTATTTGGGTTCCCTCTCAGGGAAAGGGTGCAGCATGAGTTTGTTAGAATTGAGAAAATTCATATAGGAGAAACATCTTATGAGCTCATGGACAACAGAAAAGCTATACCCAGAGCATATCTTGTATTGTGAGTCAAAGAGCAAAGTTGTAGGACACATGACTTTGTTACTGACAGGAATAATGGAATAGCTTGTTGTTATTTCCTTTCTGACTTCTGATGCTCCCAGCGTTACAACATCAAGCTGTAGTAACTCCTTGGTAATCAAACTGAAAGACTTTTAGGAATGCAAACCTGAAACGATCCTGCAGGTGACTGGTGAGGCTGTAGTTGCATAGGGAACAGTCAGGCTCCATTTTGGATGCCTGCCTGTTGCTATTCTGAGTTGCTCTACGCTGTGCGATGCTGCTTAACTTCCTGCTGTTTTCAAGCTACTTACATGATCAGTCCTCGGCCTTTTTTTTTTTTAAAGCAGCTGCTCTTGTGGCATGCTTCCTTTCTGTCGGGAGAGTGCACAGTAACAAAGCCACGTTTTATTCCCTGGTGGGGGGATGTCTTTCTCTAAGTATGTTAGAGCCCAATGCCAGGAGAAGGCACTGGTCAACTGCTGCAAACAGAGCCGGTCATTTTCTCTGCTCCAAAGCACAGCTCTCTGACTCTGAGACATCTTGTGTCAGAATCTGTGAGGAAGTTTGAATTAAGATTGAAATGGAAAGAAAAAGGAAAAGATAACTAGCCTGCTTCCTTACTGATTGTAAAACAAAACAACAACCAAATTGCCTTCTCAGCTGCCTGTAAAATGCCTTTTTGAAATATGCATTCTTGTAGTTCTCCTCTAACTGCTGCTGCTTGGTCTTTATCCGGCAATTGCTTGGTCCTACCTAGAAACACAAATGTTTGCAAAATGTGAAGTTACACATCTTGAGCTGTAAACAAAAGAGAAGCTTTATTTTTACATGCCCCGCCTTCTTTAATTTAACTAACCTTTTTCTAGTACCTACACAAGATTAGTTTTACAACATTCAAGTTGATACTTTGTTCTTGAGAAAGATGCATGTTTGTCCCAAGCTTTCCTGTCAATATCTGAGTATTTTCCTGATTTATGCTCTTCTGATGGAGGAGGTGAGATATGATGTAAGGATACTTTTAAAACTTCCAGCTGGGTGAGGTTGAGAGTAAAAAGGAGTAAAGGAGGTAAAGAAATAATTCATTTCAGTAATGCTGTTCATCTCACTGCATCACATAACAGGTTAAATTCATGTTAGGGAAAAAATGTGTAAAATTTCTTAGGGATCTCAAAAGCCATCATAGAGCAAACCTCAGATTTCCAGTTCCTCCTGTTGTGCTATCAACAGCTGATGAGATGGAGCTTCCACTGGAGCCTGTTGATGCTTTAGTTAATGGGCTACATGGACCCTGAGGAGTGGTGAGTGATAGGATATGTATGTACCTGGTGCTCAGTCCTCCATTGGTTTTGATAGAGAGACTGGTTTGAGTACAATGCTGCTTGTACATACAAAAATGGATTTGTCAGGCTGCTTTAGGTTGTTGCAAATGAAAGAGCAGTTAGTCTTCACCATAATCTTTGTTTTGCTGTTGTTTGCATGCTTTTAAGTCTGTAATAAAAACACTGATTTAATATTTTGTTTCAGTCTCCAGAGGGTGCTGAAGGCAAGGATGCAGCAAAAGTAACTAAACAAGAGGCAAGTATATATATATATATATTTAATTTGTTTTGGCATGCAATTATTTAATTGGAGATTTGCAGTCATGTATATCAGGAGATTATGCATTTCTCTGGCACTTCTGGTGAGATGTTTTCAGTGGGAATAAAGACAGTAAACCACATTGATACCCTATCTGGCTTGATTTCATCTTGGTGTACTGAGGATTTATACAACTTACTAGTCCACCAAATAAATTTGGGAAAGTTTTTGGGCTTTCATAGACAAACTCTGGTGGATCTTCTGGTAATAGTGTTGTGTGTTACTGCATGGAACTGTTGCTCTCTCTCTAGTGGGTTGGCAGAAGCGGGTTAATGCACACACCTCAGCCAGTCTACTTCAAAACTATTCTTAGCTTAAGTGACTGATGGAAGGGTGTCTTGAATTAAGATACTAGACTCTAAACTGGAGCAGCTGACACATTTGTGTGTTTTCTTTGACTGGTTTTGTTTAAAGGACACAGTACATTTTGTTAGAGACGACAGCTGGTGATATCTTGGTATCAACAATAAAGTTCGCTTGTTTGTTTTTCACAGCCCTTAATGTGAATTTAAAAAAAACAGGTATAGAATTATGAGAATTTGTTTTCTTAGGTTGCCTTCTTTTGTGGCAGACAAACTTAAACCAGGACCTTGAGAAGAATGGGGGGATATTTAATTGCTCTCTTTGTAAATCTTGGAACATATTTGATTAGGAAAATAGCAAGTACAAAAATGGCATGCTCTATAGTTTACTTGCATGTAAGGAGCACTTTTTCATAAGTTTCCCCAAGCAGTATCTTAAAGAAACTATCTAGCATTGAAGATCTTTCTAAGAATTTCTAACATACAATCTTATGAGAAGAGAATGGAGGAGTGAAAGTTAACTTTCATAAAGGAGGAGATTCTCAGTAGAGTATTGGATTTTTTTTTGGGGGGGGGGGCTTTTGCTGCTGAATATATTTGTTAATGATCTCTAGGAGAAAAGGTACTAAAGAATTTACAAAGTTGCTGAAGTTTACAAAAATTGTCAGAGTAGTGAGAGAGGCTGAGAAGACTGTAATTTCATTGACAGATAACCAAGTGATAAAATATCAAAAGAAATTCAATATGGAGAAATGCAAATGAAAATACGGGGAGAGGGAGACCCAGCGGTGATCACGAAGCTGTTAATCAGGGGAGAGATTGTAAAAGTGCAGCGAATAGTTTCTAGAAAATGTCAGTAGTTCTAAACAGAAAGTAACTAGAACATAAGAAAAAATGCCAGAGGACAGAGTAAGCATCAGTGTACCACAAGATTAATTTTTGTGCTCTCAGATAAGGGAGTACTAAATGAAGCTCTCCTGATAGAGGCCATGATAGAATTAAAAGGATACTAAGTACAGTGGGACAAATAGAGGATGTACAGCAGCTTTAAAAAAGGGTAAGCAACCCAAACTAAAAAAACAAACAACACAGTTTTTCTAGGATTCTTCATCTTTTATATAATGGACTTGTGATAAAATAATTAGTAACACAAAGGCAGTTAGGGAATTAATCTTCATGAAAGCTGTAAACAAGAGGACTCTAATGGAAGTAAGAGGCAAGAAGTTAAAAGGAGAGACAGGAGAGGGGGAACATTTTGCTTTTTGTTTTCCACACAGTGCATAATCCAATTATGGAACTCACTGACATGGGATGTTACGGAAACTGAAAGTGTAAACGAGTACTGTGTTATTAAACAGATTTGTCTAGAAAATAATCCTTGGGGGCTATTTAAACACATGATGTATATATGATATCCAGGTTGGAAAGTTGGCAACTTCAGATTGCCAGAAGCTGGTGCAGTGGGAGAGTGCACAGACTTGTTCTGTCTGCTCCTTTTCATAGACTTTCCATAGATGTTTGCTAGCAGGCCAGTGTCAGACTCTTGGGTGAGCTGCTAATTTCTTGGCTAGTACAGCTGTTTGGAAGGGACAAAGGTTCCCAAAGCACATAAAAATGTGACCTTTTCTGACGTGGCTCTAGTTCCCTCCTTATAATCAGATAACACAAAAATGAGAATTAAAATTATTTAGCTGTCAAGCATTTTTGAAGACCTTACGGTTTATGCTGACTTTCTTATGGCAAACAAGTTATGGAACAGGAGGTAGGGGAGAGAATTATAAATTATCTAAATCAACATACTGTCCTTTAAAAAGTAGATGCTAGCAAAACATTTCAGTTCCTAAACATTAAAGGGATAAATATAATTGTTTAAGAAAGCAGATTTGTAAAAGGTGATACCTTGAGTTAGGGGTTCTTTGATTACCTGACCAGCTGAAATGTTTTGTTTATCCTGTTGTAAAATAATGGTAGGCTGCTTCTTAAGTGGTTGATATGCTAAATTGCCAAGAAAAGAGAGGTTTACCTTTTTGCTGTTAATAATGCATAACTATTTCATAGCTGAAAATATCTTTAGGTGGTTTTTTTACTTCTATTTTGCTGGATGCAGATTTGAACTATTAACTACTGCTTTCGACTAAGAATTCTTGAATGGCTCCAATGAACACAAATTACAGTATTCTTCAGATATTAACAAGAGCTTTTTCCTGTTGCAGGATGTGCTGAGCTATGTTTTTTCAGCTCAACTTAAATGCTTAATATGTAATTAGAAGTATTCTTCATTCTCTTTTTAAGCCAACTTTGGCCACAGGTGTAATTCTAGTTTTATGAGTAGACTTCAGCTCAATTTATTAACCATGCTGTGTAACTGGGTGAATCTGTTTTAATTAATAAAAATTGTGAATTTTTATTATTGTAATATAATAAATTTACAAAAAATACAATAATTTGTATTATTGTAATATAATAAAATAAAGTATAATTATTGTAAATATTGTGAATGAGCTAACAAGTATTTTTAAGACTTCGGTAATAAATTTATGACAAAAAGCAGGATGAAATAAAATCTAATAGGGAAAGTATGTTGAAGTGATAAAGAAAGCTGGAGAGAAGCAGAATCTCTGGTTCAAGTCTTTCCTTTTGAGATTTGTGTTTAAATAGAAGAAATAATTTCTCTCTCTCATCCTGCAGCTGTCTTTGCGCACCTGGACTCTCAGAGCAAGTGTGTGGAGGACTGAGGAAGTGGAAGGACTTAGTTTCATGTTTTGAAATTTTAGCGCTCTGATATCCTCTAGAGAAGGATGTTAACTTTATTCAGCTGTTAATCAGATGGGATTTGTGCCCACTATTACAAGTAACATCTGCTAGATTCTAAAACACCATGCTAAGTGTGTATGAAAAAGGTTCAGTCCTTTGCACAGGTAGTCAGTCAAGCTTACTGGATTTTGAACCTTTCACAGACCAGGAAGGGACTCAGAAGTATTTGTAAAAGGGGTGGGCGGGGGGGGTGGTATTTAACTGTGTGGAGATTTTGATGTCTTAGAATTGTAGTTTTTATATTTTTCATATATTTGTAATCCTGCAATTCTTTAGTGTATAACCCTAAATTCCATATATGGTGTTAGCTACTACTTTCCCATTTTGGTCAGACAGAACAATTTCTCTCTAGACCTGGAAATCAAGGACACCTTACTGTCTCAGGCCCAGAGAAATGTAAGCAGAAGTGAGTTGGGAAGGAGCAAACTTGGAGTAAATTACTTCATTACCTGAAGCTGTTATTGGAAGATTAACCCCCAATATGCAAATGGACCAGACCTATAAAAGAATGAAAACCCCTGACCTGTCATCCATTTTAGGTGTAGCCCCTGGGAGGGCTTTATCTGCCTGAAATGTACGTGAAGGCCTTCATTAAATATAGAAGCTTTTTATTCCCATACTTTTGTTTGACTTCTGTTTTTTGGTAGTCTCAAGAAGACATCAGTTTAGATGGTATGATTCCTGAACAACTTTTATTTCTGACTTTCACATCACTGTCCCTTCAAAATTTTAATTGTCCAAGGTGAGGAGGATGTGAATTGTCTGTGGCAATAACCACATATTTTGATAGATATGTCGTATGAAATGACTATGTTGTTTTGGATACTTTTTCCTGTAAGCCTGTAAAAATGTTCTTTTTTTTTCCCCTGTAGCCCACAAGACGATCAGCAAGACTGTCAGCTGTAAGTATGTATAGTACCTCCTGGTGTATTCTTTTTTAAGCACATATGGTTTCTCAGACCAAACAAGTTTTTTACATTTTGCTTGATTCAATTTTTATTCTTGCCGAGGGGTATTTAAGAACTCTAGCAATGAAGTTGTCTTTGTTTTCTTGGTTTCAGGTTTTCAGGTTTTTCTGACAAAAGATACATTTCCCTACTTCAGTGCAAAACTGTCTGTTAGGTGCAGTATTGACTTTATTTCATTTTGCAGGCTGATGTTAGTTGTGGAAATGCAGCTACTTCTCTGGAAAGGAGAAGGAGCTGTGTTTCAAGGACTTCATTTGATGCCACTGCTAGCACTTGGTTTTAGTTCCTCTTCTCTGTTAGAATATAGCTGATGGGTTTTTTTTAATAGTCACTACTAATCTCCGTGTTTTACTTGTAGAGTGACCCCAAATTACTTTCACTTCTAGATGAGTGAACTAATGCAAACAGGTGTGTACAGAGATGAGGTGCATTTGTGCAGTAAGGTTTTTCAGACTTTTTCTAGATGCTTACTATTGAGCAGGAAGTAAGGGAAGGTGTAGGGTAAGGGGGGAAGCAGGGTGTGGAGGAGGCTGGCTTCTGGTGTTATGTCTAACATGTTGTGCAACTGGAAATGTTTTATAGAAACCTGCCCCACCAAAACCTGAACCCAAACCAAGGAAAACAGCAAAGGTAAATGCTCTTTCTTTTTAGTTACCATCGTTTTAGCCAATAGTAAGCAAGTATACTCCTTCTTTATGTTGCAAAAAGTTCAATTCACAGCTTTTTTTTTTTTTGAGGCATGGGCTTCCCTGCCCTCTCTGCAGCTCCCCACCCCCCCTCCCTGGAAAAAAAACGGCAAATTAGATCATTCTTTTCTTTCTGTTCCACCCCTTCCTGGCCTCATTACTGGCCCAAAGAAAATGTCTTGCCTGTTTGATATGCAGACCATGTTAGTTTGTAGTGAATTGCTAGTTTAAGAAGAATTTTTACCTTTACTACACCTTTCCTGAAAAGTACAGGCTTGGTTGAGTAAACTCTTCCTGAGACCTAGCAATTTCTACAAAAGCATTTGAGATTACTCTGTATCATTCTGTTTCCTTGTCTAGAGGTGCAGTACTTCATTTTGTACTGAGAAACTCTTATCTGTTCTTGAAGCCTGGCTGCTGCTGAGAATGCACAATTATAATTAAAGGTGAAATTAAATATATTTAAATTGAATGGTTTGGGTTTTCTGGGCCAGTTACAGTCAAATTAAAATCTTATTAGTGTTTGAATACCTTTTCAGGATTTTTGCATATAAATCATGTACTTCAGAAACTGTAGATTTATTTGTGCCTAAGGGGAATGTTGAATAAGAGCAGTTGCTTTATTGGAAAAAAAAAAAACCCATGCTGGACACTGAGTCTAGCACTCCTCACACTTCCATTTTTCAAGTCGTTTTATTGTCATCTAAATTGGTGCAAGTGCCATGATACAAAGTCCACACGTGAAAGTAAAACTGACTTTAAACACTGTGTGATTTATCATATAAAATTACCAGTACAGTCTTGCTGACTCCATCCTGCTCCCCTCTTAAAAAGAGCATTAATAAAGAAGAGACTGTAATAGCCTTCTGTAGCTTCACATACCTGTGAGATGAGCTTGGTGTCATGGACCAAGTCTAAGTTGTGTGAGAGACATTTGAAGCTTATTTTGGGTGACTCAAATCCTTTATGATATTACTGTAAGTAACTTTTTGATACAGTAATCTTTTTTTCCCAAACCCTAATTGGATCGCATTTTAAGGAATATATTAATCTTGGTCTCCTCAACAGTAAACAGCAAGTGTGTACTCTGAACTTGCTATTAAACAATGAAATATGGTATAGATTTGAGTTAATTTTTATTGTTAAAAGCTTGCATGTTATGAATTTGTTAAATCAACTCGTAGTTTGCTCTTTCGTAGGTGAAGAGTTATACCTATGTTCATACTAACTGTAAGCTTCCAAATTAAGCTGCTATGTAACATTGAAGCTGAGGGGTGGAAGGAGTAATTCAGGCTGCCCTGGAACTGGGATTACTGGTGCTCTCTCCTCACTGTCCTACTCCTGTATGGGGATCAGTGTGGAAGGGTAATAAATGAAGAAAAGCAGACATTAATATCCCTGTTCACAGCTACTATTGCCATTTGCATGGGGAATTTGGAGCAAATTATTGCATGAAAGATATCCAGTGTTTATCTGAACTACTTTAAAAACTAAAGTAAAATAGTAAATAATTTAAATTTTATCCCATTGCACTTTAAATATTTAACCTATGTCTCTGCTAACCTTTAGATCACAAACATAAATAAATACATAGAGAAAGTATTTATAAAAAAATATAGAAATTAAGAGCAAATCTCAAAATAATATTGTGACTGTTAGAATAGTTCCTTTTGGTAAATTCTTTGCTTTGTGTTGCTGCAGATGGACTTTTATCAGTTTGCCTCCCTAGTGTGTTGGCCAGTTCTTTCGTTGACATGGAATGATCATCACAGATGTTGTCGAAGTAACAGAAGGACAGCCAATAAAAACCTTAATTTTTAAAATCTAATTTAATATTTTATATTAATTGAAAGTGTAGTGATGTAGCTACACAAACAGTGTGGTGTTCGTGTTTGGCTGAATAAGTTTTCAATATAGTGTAATTGTGTTTGTTCACACAGATATCCTGTATATACCTCATAGGACAGCTCTGCCAAAGTAGTCCAGCGGGGTTTTGTATCCCTGAAAAAATTAGCAGAAAAACAAAAGAAGTAGACACCACCATTTTCTAGAATTGTTGATTCTCTCTGTAACTTATGTGGGTTTACGATTTCCAGGTAGCCTTTAGATGGTGTTCTGTTTCAGTTCCAGTTCATGGAGCTTGCCAAGACTTGCTGTTTAGTTCATGTGAAAGTTGTTTTGATAAAGATGCAGGGTTCTGGCTACTCATACAACATCTATGGCCATGTTTTTAATCTTCTGTCAGAAGGAACCTGGAACAAAGGCCAGCAAAGGTGCTAAAGGGAAGAAGGATGAAAAGCAAGAAGCTGCAAAGGAAGGTACTACACCATCTGAAAATGGTGAAAATAAAGCTGAAGAGGTACTTTGCACACATACCTCCTGCTGATTGAATCAGTGTTTCTTAATTATTCAGCCTTTCAGACATTGTTAGCATGTTCATAATGCTTCTTTTTATTGCCCATAATGTTATTGCAGATTCTCATCTCGCTCAACTGTTAGTGTTTCAACATCCAGAGGTGCCCCACCCAACACACTGTCAGTAAAAGGGCAGATTGAAAAAGTGAAAGTTAAGGGTGCGGTAGAGCATTCAGCATGTGTGCAGTGAATAGGAACAGGTGGTAGTGTGGTGCTTTTCAGTGTGAAGGATGGAAGCTGACAGGTAAGGCTTGTATTGCTTTTCAAAAGCTGGGACCGATGAGTTGAGAAAAGTGTGTCACTGGAACTGTTCCAGTTGTATAGATGTCCTATGGACACAGGTTTGGAGCTGTTGCAAGTAAGAAATCTAAGGAGGAAGGATAGCTTGGGTATTTAGGTACCTAATGGCATTTCACTATAGTAATTGAATTTCTTTCTTTTTTTCCTCCACAGGCTCAGAAAACTGAATCTGTAGGTGACAAGAATGAATGAAATAACCATGAAAATTTTGGGTTGATTTTATGTACCTCTTGGACAACTTTTAAAAGATATTTTTATCAAGTATTTTGTAAATGCTAATTTTTTTAGGACTATGATAGTTGACATATTAAACTGTATATGAACATTTCCCTTCTCATAACAGTGCTTTTAGAAATTCCTATTGTTGCCAAGTAATATAAATATCAACTTAATATTGCAAGGTATGTGTAAAATTGGATCAGCATTCCATACACTTGCTTTAAGAAATTATGTCTTGTGCATATGGTGATGTTTTTACTGTGTGTATTTGAATTTTTCATGCAGTTTTTCTAGAGCAATAATCAGTGGTGCTTTTGTACTTAGGTTTTATGTGATTTTAATGAAACATGGATAGATGTGGCCACCTGCTGACTATTTTGGGTTCTTTTAATGGATTAAAATAAAAGGTCTCCTTGCCTGCAAAACTAAAGACTCCTAATGTTTTCTCTAAATCTGAGGATTGCCGTACTCACATCTTTCACTGCTACAAGGCAGACTACATGATTTAGTATGAATTGTTTTGCATGCGGTGTGTTTGCTTTTTTTTTTGGCTGATGTCTGATTAAAAACCATCCACACAGGAGCAGCAAACTGGGATTTTCAGTGGCCTACAATTTAGGGGACTTAAAGATAAATTCTTCATAGATACATTCATCAGATACACTGTCACAGGGTGAGTAGAGTTGCCATACTCTGACAGGATATTGTGTCTTCAGTGAGCTATCAGTACAGAACAAATTGCTTGATTGATAGAGATGTACAGTAATTTAAAAGTAGCTTTGTTTCTCCCCACTCTCTTTTCATTAATGTGCACCGTAGTCTATGGAAACCTTTCTTTCTATCTGTAGCCTCAAATTTAATATAAATAGTAAATACTGTTCTTCAGCTGAGGACAGTTGTTAATACATTGAAATTGCTGTTAAACAGTGCTATATATTTGGTACCTGGTGGAAGTGGAACAATTAAAGTTGGTTTTAAGGTGATTGTGGTGATGTGGTAGATTAGCTAATGATTTTTTAGTGTCCATGTTCCAACTCTGCAACTCATTCTAAGTACCTTTTATGATTTTTCTCCTTCTCTTTTCTCTAGGGGTCCTGGTGTTTCTATTGTTACTTCTGGGATGGGAGGGGTGAGAGAAAAGGTGTTCCCTGTTCTTCAGTAGCATTGATTTGTATTGCTCAAGTGGTAGCCATTATGTCTGAGGATACCTTTTGCTTGTTTGAGTCAATAAATAAATGATTGTTGCCTGATCTAGCGTTCTGTTTATTCTTTGGGAAGAAGTCTCTAGTTGCCTTTTTAAATTAAAACCAAAAAGAAGCCAAGCATATCTACACTTGAAAATTGAAGCTTGATTGCCAAGACTTTCTCTGCTAGCTAGGAGTAAAGACCTGCGTTGATATAAATGTCACTTACACTTTTATGATAGGCTTGCTACACCCACAGAAGAGGAGGCTGTTCTCTACAGCATGAACTTAGTTTTGTTAGAAAATTTAAATCAATGTTCTGCTTTTGGTGATGGAAGGCAGAGGGCTATAGCAGAAACTGTAGACAATGAGAATGGAAGTCCTTACTGTTACCCAGTGATATATGTTTTGTAATCCTGCACACTACTTCTGATTTGCTTTCTGATGGACCCTGTTGAAAGTCTGTTAGAAATTATGGTTTTGGGGAGTTAACCATCTGAACTCTTTCTCAGAATCATCAAAGTGCTGTTTGTAAGCATTTTTTCAATTTATGAGTTTCTTGTTCCTCTGTGTGTGTATATATACTCTGATCATTTTGTGTGAATCACCAGGAGATTAGTTGCCTAATCCTATCTAGACACTCAAAGCTCTTGAAATGACCCTTTTAACTTAGACTTTAACTTAGGTGGGAGCATCAGAAGACATTTCTCTGGACAGGCTTATTTAAGGAGAGCTCTTTTAATAAATGGTTAAAAGTTGGGCAAAAGTTGGGTCCTTAAACAAATTGCACAATATCCTGACCTAGTAATTTTGGCATTAAATTCTTCTGTTGTCCCAACTGGATTAGGAGATTCAGCACAGTGCTAGAATTCCATCGGAAGCACTTAACAAAAGATCCACTTGGCTAAAGTGCAGTGAAACACACTACCCTGCTGATTCACTTAACATTTCTAATTTTTCAAAAGTGCTTTGCAAATGTCATGCTTACCTATATTTTTTCTCTATGTGTCAAATTCTCAGAGAAATCTTCAAGGCACTTTATCAAGTTCTAGAACATGTTTTTTAAAATTAGAATGGTCATACATTCAGACATATGTAGCAAGAGTCTTCGTGGGCAGGTGGTGATCTGCAGAGCACCTTCAGGAAGTATGCAAGTATTTTAGTTTTGAAGTGGCAGTTGGAAGTGCCAGGTGTCACATCTCTGCCATAAGGAAACTTGTATCATGAGTATTTAATGACTGACTGCGTCACACTTGAACACAAGGTTTCGAGGGATCCCTGAAAGCAGTATTTGTCTTTTGTGGGATGTAACAGATGGGTAATTCAAGATGCATAAAAAAAATTGTGAGGGTGTCCAAGTTTCAGCCAAGGACAGGGTTAATGTTTTGCAGTAGCTGTGAGGGGGCAGAGTCTGGAGCTCTGTGGGCAAGTCCAAGACCCAAATGTTATTCAACACCATCTTACCTCATGGCCAGGGTCCCAGGGCTGGGGAGAAGGGACTCTGTCTCCTAGAGAGAAGAATGTCCCTTTCCAGTGGTGGGCTTAGGGTTCATCCCTCGTTATTTAGTAAGCTCAGGCTTGGTGAGCATTTTGTGTGTAAACACCCACTCTTGTGTACACTTTTGTCATTAGTATTGTTGCTGTTATTGTTATTACCTCACTGCTGTTTCCAGTAAGCTCTTACCTCAACTTGTGATTTTAACCTTGTGTGCCTTCAATTTTCAACTCCATCCCCAGTGTGGGAAAGATGAGGGGAATTGAGGAGAGTGAGCAAGTGGCATCTAGATTGGGAGAGTCTCAGTGGGGGCACTGAATTGGGGAGGACCATTCCTAAACTCCGACAGAAGGACAGACAGTTTTTTAAGTTTCAAGGAGGCAAATGCATCAGAAACAAGACAATTCCCCTTGGTTGTCACTTTCCACTATTGTCTTATCATTGACTGACCTTGGGCTAACTGCATATGTCAGCACAAGGTTACACTTAGTATTTTGTCTGTTCAATGGCAAAGGCAGCTTTTTCTGAACTGCAGATAAGATGCAACCAATTAACAGGAATCCTAATGGAAAATTAACCCTTGTGCTAAACGGCAGTGAAAATTAAGTTTCAGTGCATCTTGCTCAACCCTTAAAAGTTATTTGGTCTTGAGAGTTGTTTGGTCTGTTCATAACTGCAAGAAGTAAAAAACAGGGAAAGAGAAAAGGACTATCAAGAAAATAAAGATCACTTAGAATAAGTAACATGCAAGCTAAAATTCTAGTGGAATTGGGAAAAATAATAATTTAGCCCACAATGTCCGTTTATATAAAATAAGACAGCAAAATTCTATGGGTGAATTAAAGCACTAAATATACAGGAGACTGTCTATAAACAACTCCAGTATAGCAAGAACTCTGTCACCCTCCTGGCTCAAGGTTTATCTTTCTTGTATTTGTAGGAAGATGTGAAGAATACTTTCACTGTTAGTTAAATTGCTGCATACATAATGGTCAGGAGAGCCATTAGAACGTTCAGGGCAGTTATTTTTAGTAAAACAAGGATTTTCTACTCCTGTTCTCTGTAATATACATACTTTCTGCTTTGTTTTAAAACTGATAAAGCCTAGCTATAGCCAGATTGGCTTGCCAAATTGTCAGCAACTGCTTTCTAGAATGTCTGGTTCTGCATTTATAATAGATCAGGATGAAACAGTTAATGGTTTTCCCATAGAAAATGGACAGTATAAGAAATAAACTGTTTTGATACATCATGCCCTTTGTGATACAAGGACTAACAGGTGTTTGACTAATACAGCAAAATACCCTCACAATCATCTTCAAAGTGCCATAAATGAGTTCTGGTGAAAACTGACTTAACTAACACTAGATTTTAACTTTGTCTATTGATACTAATCATAATATGAGTGGAAAATAATATTTGCATACCTGCTATGATAAGAATAAAGCTAGTAATTCAAATTCATGCTCAAAAAATAACCCTGATTGTGTAAGGCCATTGTGCTTAGTTTTAGTACTGCATTTATGTCATGGTATTATAACTTGTAGGAATTATTTTATCACTGTTTCCATTCTCATTCAGAAATAAATTTCAGACTTGAAGCCCATAAAAACTGAATTTATACTGGACAATTTCAGGTATTAAGCTATTTGATATGAATCTTCCAATAATGAACAATTTAATGGAGAGCAATATAATTTAAGATGACAGTGCAGTGACTGGAAAGAGTGATCTTGTCAAAGTCCTCAGTCTATTTCTGAAATGGCTATAAAATATTACTGTAGTTCCTTGCAAAATAAAGGTTGTAGAACAAGAACTTTTGTCCCATTGTAAGACAAAGCTGGAAGGCCATTCTAAGCTTTCTTTAGAATAGTAATAATAATAATTCTAGTTTCTGATGTCATATATATATGTATATGTCAGGCATATTCTGTAAGAAGTTGGAAGATGTGAACTCTTAAAGGGGTTCACAATTACTGGAGACAAAGCATGTGATGTATGTCAGGTGCATCTAGAATAACTGAGTAAGAAAGGAGTATAAGTAGAGGAGAATTTCTGTGATTCTATTCATTGGCATCTTATAGATGGCTGCATGTTATTCGCAAGAGGGAGGAGTGCTGCTACTGCAGCAGCTGGGGGTCATCCCAGAATGAGCCTGGGAGAAAGTTCCCTGCTGGCTGAGTGCAGGAGCAATGTGAGAATGCTCTGCAGTGATTGCACAGCAGCGATGCTTTGTGGAAGACAATCCGGGTGGGTGGGGGGCAAGGGGCAGAGCTGGGAAGGGCAGGAGGGGGAAAGTAGTCTGACCCTGTCATCTGGATGGGTGTGGAGGAAGATATCTTGTACAACATAGGAGAAACATTTTTCTAGTAGTAGGAGCAAGAGAGAAACAGCAATTTTTTTTGCATGTGCAAGCAAGCCTTGAATGTCATTAGACTTATTTTTTCCCCTCGGGTCCTTTATCAACAATCCAGTTACTGAGGGCACAGTGCTTTTGTTTTGTTCCCTCTGGGATACATTCCTGGTAAAGCTTTTAATTCTAGGGTTGGTTTTTTTTTTTTTTTTTTTCTACTTCCTTGAAGGCATTTTTGCGCTTAAGTATCATTTGTGTATCGGTGCCAAATCTCCACCTGCAAGATAACTACTGGTTGTGTTGATGAACCTCGGAGTCTTTCAGGAAGCTTTGCCTTCTTTACCCCCAAGGGAACTAGGTGAATAAAGGTTTAAATATATGGTAAATCTGAGCATGAAGAGGCTACTAGGGAGTCTGCTATCTACCTTGGTGACAATAGATACCGGACTTCGAGGTGAGATGGAAGAGAGAGAGCCAGGGGAAGGCCAGGTGAGCATAGCACCTCTGCTACTGTTTTGAGACTTCTTTATAGTAGCCATACACAAAATGAGGGTTGCTTGGCCACAGCAGCAGAGGGGAGGTGGGGGCCTTGGATTCACAAGGTGTGTGCAGAGGTAGTTCATCAAAGGGAACAGTGGGACATGTGCAAGTTGTTCCAATGTGGAGTAGCACAGAAACTCCCAAATAGTTGCATTAGGATAGATTTGGTAGTGCTATTTCTGGCAGCTGGTTGTCTTATATGACTATGATGAATCAGAAAGTTGACAATAGTTATTCAAAAATAGTGACTGTGGATAGTGTTTTCAGGAATTAATGACAAGAGATGACTAGTGCTATGCTACTACACATGCTATTACACTTCTATGGGAAGTGTATGAAATTGGTTTTAAATATTGAGCTGCAAATGCCAATTACAGTAGCAGTTGAATACAATTGTGAAGACATCCCCAAAAACCAGCAAAAAATAAAATTGTATTTCCAAATAGATGTCAGCTTCAGTGATGAAACTTCAAGGTGAATCACTGCCACACAGGCTGTAAGCAACAGATTTAAAGTGCTTGTCTTTGGCTCTGTCAAGCCACTGTCCCATTCACACGATCACAGGGGTGTCCTAACTTCTTTTTTAAATGCAATCTCCTTTAAATGAAAATAATAGTGCTCTTCATCTGGTGAATGCCTCAGCATTAGCATTGGACTAATCCTTTCATGGTGGGGTGG